CAAAACACAAGCTTTTTATTTTATCATCATTTATCATTATTATTTGTATGTAAATCTAGTAAATACAAGGTAACATAAAATCAACAAAAATTATTCTTTGATAAACAAATAGTACTGTACTGTGCTTAAAATGAACTCTTGACTTAGAAACACATAATTTTAAAATCAATCTTTCAACAAAAAGAGTAACTTTTTTTTAAACAGCAACATAATTTTAACAAAAAGTTAAATTTAAAAATTTTTAAATAAAGCATTTTTCCTACGTAAAAAAATCAATGATTGTACATAAAGAGGAATAGGTGTAAGTTTATACTATAGCTTCTCTAACAAATGCATCTAATTTATTGTAAAATCTTTTTATTTTTTTACAAAATGGACAATCAAAATACAGAGAAACTTCTTAGTATTAATCCTCTTTTTTCAAAATACAGATAATTAGAAAATAAAAAATGAATTACAATTCACAAAACACAAAAACTATTATATTAATGTAGTTTTAGCCTTTTCTCCTCAAGTGTATTTATTTTCATTTCAAACAATGGAAAATCCGACTCCAATCCAAATGATCGATCTTGGGAGCTGCATTATCTAGACCACAGGTTCTCAAACTTATTTCGACCACTGCCCACTTTGAGATAAGTTAAAAAATATGGGGACACTAGATTTTTTTAAACTTTTAACTTAACCTTTTTACATTACCATCTGTTGCATATCTTAAAAACAGTTATTGCAAATATAATGTTTAAACATGCATTATTATATGGATAGGATAGATAGGGTGTGACCCATATCCTATTTCTGAGATCAAAGAATGTTTCAATGAGAAGAAATAAAACTCATATTTAATCACTGAGCCTTCTACTGCCCCCATGAAAGCCTCCAGTGCCTGCAAGGGGTGTTATCGCCCACTTTGAGAAAGAATGGTTTAGACCAGTGTTTCTCAACCCAAAACTCATCGTGGACTGGAAAATATCTGCTTTTTTTAAGTGGACCAGTGACAATATTATTTTTAATTGAAAAAAATTCTCTGATGTAAAAAGAATTACAAACTACATTGAGCAATAAATATTTGTTATTTATTTACCAGTACATTAGTACAGTCGACCCCCCTATAATTACAGTCCCTATAATTACGATTCCTATAAAACTACGAAAAAATTGTGACCGGTATCCGTAAAAAACAGTATAAAACCCCCTATAATTACCTCAAATGTCATCGGGCAGCCAAACTACTTTCCCGCCGTCCGTAGCGCCAACTACGGAGAGATTTCTATCGTCTGGACAGTATTATATAAATTATATATAAATTAGGTACTGTACATATAATTATATATTAATTATATATAAATTAGGTACTGTATATATAATTATATATTAACTTATTGTAACTTTGTTATAATTAAATATATAATTTCCGCCGTCTAGCGT